TACCATGCAAAATTTCAGATATTTTCGACAAAAGGCACAGCGGTTATTAAGCTTCAAAGTGATTGAACAATACTAGAGAGGTTTCCATCGGGAAACCTCTCTAGTATTGTTCAATCACTTTGAACAATACAATGGCGTTTGGAACGTCAGTGGAATCACGTTCGACGTTCCAAATTCCATTGTCAAACTTCTAGGCTTACAAGAATGTTGCGCTGAACGTTCGACGTACACGTTTTCCCGATGAAAACGTCGGCCGCAACCTCTCTACTGTGTCATCCGCACACTAACGTCCATACATACAGAGAAAATCCTAGGTTTTTCTTGAATTTTCGGCGTTTCAAGCCCCCTTTATCGAATAAATTCCTTTCAATATTTCACATAACAAATTTAAATTACTTATTACTTCATTATTAGGAGTAAAAAACTTATTAGTAACAGAATATTTTAAATATTTATGCAAATTACTCGATAATTTGCATATGTAAATATCACATGAAAGTGTTTGGATGAGTTCCAATACTATTGAACTTTGAAAAACATGTTGTGTTTTTCTTCTTCTTTTTTTTTTTCTTCTTGACAAAACACATAATTTAATATTCAGAACTTGTCCCAATAAAAGAGTGAACGTCACAATTGACCTTCCAGTGTTTTCAAGTGTAATCTTTCTCCTTGACCATGAACTAAGTTCATCAACATGAGAGCAATTGCTTCAATTCGATCTCTGAAGCACGCTCGTTGCTGGTGTAACTAGAATACGCGAGTAATAAAGATGTAATAAAATACTATTTAAAACTAATGATAAAATTAATATATTCAATTTTACGTGTGTCGAAACGTGTTTTAAATCGGGGATTATACTAATTTCTATCGTTAAAAACTTGATAAGAATGTTATTTCTTCCGAAGAAGTTGACAAGCCAATTAAATTTTAGAATAACAAAAGGAAAAAAAAACCAGTTCACGTATATTGTAAACATGTAAACAGCCATAAGAATCACAAGACAGTAAAAGTGACCTTATAAAACAGAACAGTAAACACAGCAAGGACAATGAAGATACGTGCGCAAAAAATTTTCCTTCAATTGTTTTTTTTTTTTTTTTTAACTTTTGACAGCAACGTAAATTAATCGCTTTATTAACAAAAAATTGGGTTTTTTTCCCTGTATGTATGGACGTTAGTGTGTGGGGGGAGTCACAATATCGTTCACCCACTTCGAAGCTTAATAACTCCTGTGTCTTTTGTCCGAAATTTCTGAAATTTTTCAGGGAGGTTTGTGTATTACAGGCATTAATTCTATTAAATTTTAGTGAATAAAGGTGGAGGGGATGGGGAGTTAGAGGGTGTCACGTGTCGTATCTCGAGTGGGATCGAACTTAATGAAGATTTTCGTTATTAGCATTTATAATTTTTTTTTTAATGAAATTCATCTGTACCCGAAGAATTAAGCTTTTTTGCTCTATTTTATAATAAAATTATATAACAGATGGTGTTGCACACAATTTTTAACTCTTGCCGGGAAAGTTGCGCAACTTGTTACTTAATTTTTTTTATTAGAGAAATTGACTCTACTACGGTAAGTAAATGATGTTACAGCTTGGTTTTAGAAGCCATAAATTAAGCGTTTTGGGAAGAACTAAATTGGCAAATGAGGTAAACAAGCTGCAACTTAGGGCCTCGTATGTATCATTATTTGGTGGAGGGAAAGGGCCTGTTATATGTTACAGCTTAGGTTCACAAGAAGTCTAACTTAGAAATCCTCCGTTTCCCCCCCCCACTGTGGAACGTCCATTTTTAAATTTATATTCATTGTTAATACACACAGAACACAACGCAATGATTCGCATTAAAAAAGGAAGCGAGAGAAACAAAAGTGGGTTTGATTGTATTAAAAGTAAGGAAAAAAAAGGGTCATAGTTAAGTGAAGTTTGAAAAATATCTATTTTCGAGAAGTCATCGCATGAGAAATCAAGTTTTAAACCTCTGTTTTATTATATTATTGATATTATTTATATATAAAGCTTTCTTTGTTACAAAAGTAGAACAACTGTATTCTTTCTTTCTTTTTTAGTACCCGTGTTTACCTATTTTCTTCCTGTTTTATTATTAAAAAAAAGTAATAATAATCTAATTTTTAAACTTTATTTATAAAGCTTTTAAGTGCTTATTAACTAAATAAAATATACCGGTATATAAATAATCGATTATTTATATACAGGGCCTCACAGAGATCAAGAAAGCCAAATAGTCCCATAACAGAAAGAATTTGCATATAATAAACAGGTCTTGATTATTTAAAATAATTAATTATTATATCAGTGGTGAGTTATGGTTAAAATGGTCATAATAAGGCCCTATAACAGGACTTAATTTACACATAATTAACAATGTATACAGTATAGGGCCTCCGGTTTGGTGGACTTAATAAATTAGTTTGATTTATATACATGCCTTACAAAGATCAATACTGGCCTAAGCCAAATAACCCAAATCTATAATAGGCCCCAACTTAAACTTTATGAGTAAATTGTGGCCAGTTATAGAGTGATAGATGAGTTATTTATGTTTAAATTAGGCCTTATTATCTACAGTTTAGTGTCTCATATAATATAGCTACACTCTAGGCTTCAAGCCTTTACACATATTATTTGATCTATTTGATGGAAGGAAAGGGCCTTTTATATATTATAAACCAGTCTGGTAATAGAGCCTATCACGCTTATCAACAGCTATATCGATATATATATATATTTTTTATAGAACTTTCCTTAAATTACACTCAACTACTTGCATGTTATTCATAATTTAACCCACTGGTGTATGCAAATAAGGTAGTTTAATATAACTGTGGGTAATTTAACACATAAATTTATATTTAAATTACAAATACGACAAATTTCATATATAATTTATTAACACACAATTCATTCTTTTTTAAAAGACACAGCTTAATAACTATAGGAAATTCTTATCTCTTATCTGTATTAAAACAATAAGAACAATACTGTAATAAATAAAATTTTTAAAAAATACAGAAATTTTTTTCCTTTTAAGATAAAATTCATGGAGTTTTAATGTCACTTTATAGTAGTGAATATTATAAATTGTTTTCTAACTATTCAATGTAAAGAATGTAGAATAAATGATACATAACACAGTGTTAGAACTAACACTGTGTGCATGGGCATAACTTTGTTCATCCATTCATCCACTTTAAAGCTTAATAACTCCTATGCCTTTTGTCCAAAATTTCTGTAATTTTTCAGGGAGGTTTATGTATTAAGGGCATCAATTCTATTAAATTTTGGTGGTTAAAGATCGAGGGGGTGAGGAGATACAGGGGATCAAGATTTTACTCGTTACTAGCATTTATAAAACTTGTTTCTATCCTCAAAATTAAACGTTATGTCGATTTATAATTAATTATATATATATTTAAAAAAATTAAGAAAAATTCTGTAACAGATGGCGCTACACGCAGTTTTAACTTTTTTTTTTCCGGGAAAGTTACGTAAAGTTACGTGATTTATTAATAAGACAATTACACAGTTGAATCTTCAATAAAAGCCACCTCTAAACGGCGGACATTTTCTCAGGAAATTCATTTTTAGCAAGAATGCAGAATAAAACCTGCCAAACCGAAAAATATATTCGGTACCGTGTTATTCCGGTTTACGCAAGTTTTACTGTATACCCGTATTCAGTACTATGCTATTTCGCTTTACACAGGTTTTTACCGTATTTGCTAACTTTATAAAGGATCTTAATTAGTTCTAAAGGATTTTCCTGTATTTTTTTATTATTATTGTTATCCTTTGTTCTTTCAACCCTTCTCGCGTGCCATCTAAAGCAATTGACATTGAATAAGCCCTATTTGTAATTTGACTCTTTATCTAAAGGGGAAAAAATAAATAAACAAAAAAAAACAAAAAAATTATATAAACTTTTCCACCTTTGTCATACAGGAGCTTGTTCTAAATTGGCAATTGTCATTTTACTTATTTTCAAAGCGATATTGATCTTATAACATATGATTCAATGCTAATTAGTAAGGTTATATCGAATGTTAACCCTGTTATGAGGTCTAGTAAGTTATGGGGGTTAAGTATCAATCTCGGAATATACATAAAATCCTGTATACAGTATATAAAATGTAAGCTCTGTACATTAGTTAAAATACGAGGTTCTACTATACATTAAAACCTGTTTAAAACGGAAATTTTATAAGACGGAAACCTATCTAAACAACGATTTTCTGTGTTAAAATAAACCTGCCAAACCGGAAAAAATATCCATTACCGTGCGAGGTTTACACAGGTTTACTGTATATAAAATATAATCCGTAAAACACGGATTATAAACCCTGTAATAACGGCCACCTCTAAACTGCGGACATTTTTACAGGAAGGTTGAACAAAAATGCTTATTAAAATAACCTCCAAACAACGGCCACTTTCAGTAACTGTTATATTTTTTATGTTCCTCTCAGTGTCCGTTGTTCAGAGGTTCGACTGTAAAACCACAGGATACGAGCTTTTATTGAGCATAAGTCTCGTACTGTACATAGAATATAAGCCCTGTCCGTTATATAAAGATTTGGATTACACATAAGGCTTGTTACGTGGACATAAAAGAACATAATTTATATTGAGTTAGAATTAAGCATGATTATAGGATTAAAATACGAGATTTTGAGCCCATATTTAACACTTGCTTTAAATATAAAATTGTGTACGTGTTTGTGTGTTTGTCTGTTTGTATTTTTTAAAAATTAAATCAGTAAATAATATTTGTTAATAACTGCGCCCACACGAGGAGGAAAAAAAAAAAAATGTATAAAGTTAATTACAAAACATCAAGACTCGAGTACCTAAAAATGCCAAAGTAACTAGTACCTGTCGTTCAAGTCCGAATCAACCAATAACGTCAAGTTTAACATAGAATGGGAGGAGTCAGCATCCCACTTGTTATAAATTAAACGTTTGCAACCAGTTTTGTATCATTCAATAGAAAGTTTAAGCTGAAAAAGTTTCGTTCTAAGATGCCCGCTGCTGTCTCTCAGAGTCAACTAACTCTAACGAGTACCATCGAATCTGGCAAATTCAAGTGAGTTTTATTTAAATTTAAACACTTTTTTTTTAAAAAAAAACTCGAATTTATTAAATCCACGAAAATCTTTAATTATATATATTAATCTTAATCGATTTCTTTCGAATTTTTCTGAAATTACTCTGAAGTTACCTCTTACCTCATATTTTACAATACGTTTTAATGGATTAAATTCCAGTTCAATTGTTAAGAGGAATTTTCAGTTCGTAGAATTGTGCTATTTTGCAGCTGAGTAAATTGATACATTTTCTATTCAAAAATAACAATTAAAAAAAATAATAAAAGCAATTTTCGGTGTTTCAAATGCACAATTTGATCCCGGATCAGTGTCGGATTTACGCGTTAGATAAACACACAGCTGATAAAAACCACTGAATAATGGTAATTGGTCTTGGGTTCGCGCCTCGACACGTAATTCTCTTGATTTTCTTCACGTTTGTAACATATAAATAGGGGATCATTTCACATGAAGGACCACCCGGGAGGTATCCTCTTTCGGCAGATCGCGTTGCCGCTTACCAACGAAACCAAAGCTGTGAGAGAGAGAGAAATTTCTGATAGAATCACACTATTAGGGGGTGCCACGATATACCTAAATTCCGTATCATCTAAGATTTCCAATATTTTAACAACCCTCCAATTGTTTTATTGAATGTGTATACCTTAACTGTTGGAGCGAAACGTGTTTCGCATCGCCTGATTCCTCCATATTTTTTTTTTTTTTTAATAAGTATTCTACGATCAGTAGATTAATAAATAGCATAAGGAATCAGTAGATCACAATCAGCAAGAAGTTAATTATTTGAATGAAAACGACAACAGGGCGCAGTTAATTAAGCATGGCGTGGGATATCCTGACTGAAGAACCACGTTGCAAATTTCACAATTAAGCAAGAACCACTTTGCAATTTCACAATTATGCAAGAAATCTAACGGAATTAGAGTTTTAAAATTATAAATTGTAAATTTAACGTCTATTTAGTCGATTTTTTTAATGCTCAGGAGAGTAGATGTACCCGTATCAATGCTGGATCACGTAACTGGATAACTCGATCCTTTTTCAGATTTCATTTTCTTGTTCATATTTTTTAAAAAATTTTATCTTATAAATTCAAAAACATCAATATTTTCGGAATATTTAATATCATGAAGTTATTCTATATCCGGCGAAGGTTACAGCAATAATAATAGCCATCACGTGATACGCTACTATTATTGTTTAAACAGCAGCGAGGACTCCTTGTATACACAGAAATTAGTTACGACAGATTAATTATTTAAAAACAAAAAAAAAAAACACTTAAACACTTCCTTAATTATTAATTTAGATCCTAAAACAGTAAACGAGTAAACACCAACGGCGGTTCAAAAGTCGGTTAACGAATCGTAAACTGATTTTTGATCCACCCTCCATTTTATGAAGGAAGAAAATTTAATGTTTTATGTATGGATTTTCCTGAATATATTTAAAGAAAATGCTCTTTTTTGAAGTTTTTTTTTAGGATAAATTCCTCAATATTCGTAACGTTACAAGAGCGTGTTAGCGAGTTAGTGAGTGGGAAAATACTTTTCTAATGAGGAAATAATTTTTATTTCTTTCTTTTTTGTTTTTTCTATGGTAGCTTCTGTATAAATGCTTTTTTTTAATGAGTGTTAATCGAGTATTGTTTGGTTATTAACTCGATTGTACAGACTCACGAACGTAGTATACTTCACATTTGTTCTTTAATTTTAACAACACTTACGAGTGTGTGTAAAAGAATACAAAAAGGAAATTACTGACCTATTTTGAAAGTTCTTTCTATGGAAAAAAAAAATAAAATAAAATAAAATAAAGTTTCAAAACTAAACTGGTTGATTTGAGTTCCATTTTCATTTTTTTAAACTTATTTTATTCAATTTAAAAGTATATTCGGTCGGAATTTTTAAAATTTTATTGTCTATTCTTCTCTTACTTACTTTTATACCTTGCTTTTATACCTTGCTTTAAACGTTTTTCTTTTAACCGTCGTAAAGCGAGCGCATATCTCTCGTAGACTCTGTGCCTATAACTTAAGATTACGTTCTTAAACAGTTTTAATTATATAACACCGCGTAAATCTGGCCAAAGTAAAAAAGATTTGGACGTTAAATACGATATTTTACACAGTCGTAACAGAAAAAAAAAGCACCAGACGTTAAGACGAGGAGGGACGGTCGTAAAGCGGGGGAAAGGTTTTATTTTATTATTTAAAAGCTCTCGATAGGGGATAATTGAATAAAGAAGCTAAACACGTGTTACTCAATAAAAATTTACATATTTTTATGCCGGGATCGTGTTACAAAACTGTTTTACTTGAGTAACAAATGTGTTACAACCATTTCTGTAAGGTAGCTGTCCTGTGGCACACATTAACAATTCGGGTCAGTGCCACTCAGCACGTTACGAATTGTGTGCTATTTTGTTTAATGCTTGTAAATGTGAACATAAACGGGAAAATATATATTAATTTTCCTCTTTTTTTCCTTTAAAAAAAAAAAAAGGAATATTTCTTAATTCTTCTACGCAATTTAACAATGCAGAAATATTTAAATCCCTCGAAGAATGTCGTCTGCCAAACGATCACGATCTGGCACAGTTTTGTCTTCACGAAAAGGCATTTATCTTTAAGTTTAAAGGTGAAATTTTTCGTATTACGACCCACTTTGACCCACAATCACAATTCACCTGACAACTGACTTCCTTCCCCCCCATTCTACCCACATTGATTGGATAGAATGGAGAGAGAGAGGGGGGAAGGAGTCAGTTGTCTTTACAGTTTTTTTCCTCCCGCATATTTCGTTTTTATATTTAGAACAAATGTCTCGAGTGACCCCTCTTAAGATATCGCGCGGGGAGAAGAAGGAAAATTGACCTTGATGGGGTGACTTTTTTTTTTTTCTAGTGTTTCCTCGATAACATTTGACTCTCGAGAGTTCGTTTCACTGTCATTACGATCCAGACAAACAACTGCAGTTAAGACCTTCTATTATTTAAAAGTCGTTACATGATTACGAGTCTTCTTATCTTCGTGCTGTGTTTCTTTTTTTACTGTTTGATCTATGGGAACATCAATTATAATACGTAAACGTGACATCACACAGGAAACGTACTTTCTAATTAAAGTTTTTGATACGTTTCTCGCTCACGAGTAAAAGTTCTTTTTTTTTATTCTCGTTTTTTCGCTTTCTGAACTTTTTTTTCTAATTAATTTCCTTGTTTGGTTTATAAGTACTTTAACTACAAAGTGCAGTTTAAGTGACTGCTCTATGAAAACCTTTGTAGTTCTCGTATAGTCCTCAAGTATAATGGTTCTCACTTAAAGTTCTCGCTTAAACTGTGTGAGAACTACAAACTATAAAGACTTTAAACGTTTACAATTTATATGAGGACTTTTAATGAGAACTCTAATTTGTAATTCTCATTAAAAAGCCCTCATTTATAAGAATGTGAAGGCTTAGAGTGAGGCTCTATGAGGAAACATAAGAAGGGATGCAATTTTCCTTCTTATACTGGAGAAATCTCACCACAGAAAAATACCAGAAGGAAATTTTATTTTTGTACTTTAAAAAAAAAAAAAAAAAACGCAATACAACCTTGAAAATTTAATAGTTTAAAATTTCATTGCTCAATATGCTTAATAATTGTATTTTTATTACAAATTTAGATTTTCTAAACAAATTAATCAGCTCTTTTGTGTTGCGTGTTGTAAAAAAAATCATCTAAATTATTACATTAATAGACTTATGAGGTTCTTAATCTATAACGTATAATAGGCCCTTCCTCTTTACTAAATAATGAAATATATAAAAGTGTGAGGCCCTAAACTACAAACTCATTACGCGAGGCCCTAAGCTGTTTAGTTTACGTACAAACCGGCTCTGCAAATAGCAATGTCGTGTTGAAACTGGCTCTAGAAATAACGATTTCATATGAAAATCGACACAATTTCTTGTGAAATTTTTAATTTTACTCGTTGCAAATTCGAATGTTGAACGGTAGAAATGAAAATTGATTAAATAATTTATCTTAAATGTGATTTTTATCCCCATCAAACTCTTCGTCTCCCTTGCAGCAATGCAAGGCAACAAACTAATGGGAGTTTTTCTATGGGAATTTCGTGTGTTATCTTCATTAATTACTCAAAGATTTTATGTAATCAACGAAGGCGAGATATCTGAACATCTTATCTACATATTTTTATAAGAATTATGTTACTGTATCACTTCTGAATCCAGTTTTATCCACCTTGTTCTTACCTGAAGCGACGTAAGAATGCAGTAGAGGAACACGTGAATATAATTCTTTGGTGTCAACGTCTCCTTAACTGGTTAGAAAACGTGTAGTGCAATCACCTCCCCTGTCTAATGGATCTACACGAGGATCTCCATCAAGAAATACATGTTCTACTTTAATTCCTTTTAATCGAAGCATTCACTAGTCTATAAAATAATAATAAAAAGTAAAATCAAGATCATCTTTGAAGTTTTAGGGCTTCTCTAACGTCACGTGATGAGAGTATTGTCCTTATTTTATGAATTATTTTAAAATTGATCCAATGATTAATTGATGAGAACTATTTTTAGATGCATAATATCAACAAATTGCATGGGGTAAATTGGCTTGTTTATGATAAATTATTGGAAAATTTTTGGTGTTTTCGTGTCAAAAACCTTATGAAATTTTATATTTTTATAAAATATAATTAAATTTTTATAATGAGGACCGTCTAAAAGTTTAATAAATGGAGTTAAACGTGTACTTAAAAATATAATTCGCAAGGATTAATATATGAACTTTTATATGTTTTATACATAAAAATTCATTAAAAACTTATTTAAAAAATTATATTTTAAGCTGAAAACGTAACAAAATCTCAATTTTAAGTAAAATCTAATTAAAATTTCCAACATTCAACCTAAAAAACTGAACGTAAAACGTGCGATCTCGCGACCTCAGTAGGCGGTGTCAAGATTTC